TGCTCGACATGCCCAATGAAGTGGTGTTGTTGATTCTGTTGATGTCGTATTAACTTGTGCACCATTATTTAATAATATTCGAGCTGTATGTGCATAAGATGGAAGTCGTTTAGGAAAATATTTTGACCAAAGACAAACAAGTTGTAATGCAGTTAAATTACGAACAATTTCTTTTTTATTTGTTTTAAAATTTTCATATATTAATGAAAATGGTTCATTAACATCTTGTTTATTTCGAATAAATAATAAACATACTTGACTAAAACCATATATACATGATTCATGAAAAGCACTCATTGTTGATGATACAAGTTTATCTTTTTTATAATGTTCGACATTCTTTTCTAATAAATATTTAACCATTTCATATGATTGAATATCATAAAGAAAACGTAATAGAGCATCAGCTTTATCACTAACAGACTCATCTGTAAGTAAATCTGCATAAAATTTATCCAATTCATTTAAAGATTTTTTTTCCCATAATTCAACCAAACGAACAAGATCAGGAATCCAATCACGAATGTATTGAGCTATAAGAAGTTTAAAAAATGTATATGAAAAAAAATAATAATATAACTTACCATCAATTGTATCAGATTCAGTCAATTTACGTGATAATTCAGTAACATCATGTATATAAGTTTCTTCATTATTCAACTTCCAAAAATCATATATTAAAGATATTTTATGTGTATCGAGTAACATTCTTTTTTGTTTATTCGTATTAAAACAGATAAATGTCTATTTATTTAATCGAACACTGTCTGATATTTATATGAATCAGTATAGAAATATAACAACGTCATTTTGATCATCTTCGTAAATCGTCTTGTGGAAGTATCACGTGGAATACATACATAATCACGTCTTTAATCACGTACATATTTAGATATTCTCAATACATATTACATCATCATACCTGTCAAAATTTGCGCAATTGAAGCACGCGCGTAGTCATCACGTTTCTCTTTCGTCTGTTACGCATGATATAATAATAGTAAACAGAAATAGACGAGCTTAGATTTGATTTCATTGTTAAATATTCACAATAAATTTGCACTCTGAATTCACCTAAGTAACGTGATATAAATAATTATATGATGAATTTGTTTATACGTACAAATCTGTTATAAAACGTATTATACGTATTTCATTCAGTATTCATTTGTAAGCAATATCAAGTATATTCGAGAACCTTCATGAAGGATAAATTTTCTTTTTAATGAAATATACATTTTATTTGAAGAAAAAACAAGGTTATTTAAATATACAAATTATTATATCTACTATTAGTTTAGATAATCATAACTTTAGAACTTTTGTTATTCTTAATTGTCGGAAAATTGAATCGAATCGCATCCAAAAAAAAAAGAAAATATTTTTATTTTATATTCATTGAAATATTATTTTTCGCTAATTTATACTGATGTCAAGAAGTTGAATGAGGATGGTTCATATACAGATAATGGTGATATTAATTTTAGCTGCAATGTCGTTTACAATAGAATCCGTATCCGTAAATCGAATAGAGTGCACATAAGTGCATTGTGTGATTCATTTCTTCGTCTTTTACATCCTAAAATCTTTTTCTTTTTATATTACGACCAAGGTCATCAAATTTTGCATTCAGTGATATGATGTAATCGTTTATAGCTATTAATATAATTGAGTAGTAAATGGCAAAAAACAAGTACAATATTAAAAAACATTTATTTTATGTATGTCCCTCTAAAATCGACGTTCGGCAAAAAATGTCCTGAAAGCGAATACATTGATGTAGAACGAGTGAATTTGTGCATCAAGATTTCAACAAAATATTTTATCATTAGTATTATTCGATTTCTCATATTCAACTGTATCATATTTCATCAATATTAATTTCAATTTTTAAATAAATTTTAAGAAAATATATTCTCTGTATTCACTGAAGTGAATACAATAATTATTTTGACTGTAGATAAAGTATCCTTTAATATTTTACTCATTTTTCATTTAGTGCGATCAAAATTCATATAAACTTCTGCTGACAAATATTTTCATCACATTCTAGAGATTCAATTGAAACAGATGAAGAATAAATTCAAGAAGATAGTTTTTTCTTAATCCTTCACTTAAAAAGAGAAACTATTGAAAATTATGAGCTGTTTACAGATGTGCTTCGTTCACAACTATGTATAATAGTTATTGAATGTTATATTTCACTTTTCTTCTTATCTTACTATGAAATATTCTTCATAGTGTGCACCTTGACGAGCCATGTTTCTCTTTCTCTTCTCTTGTTGACTACTGTACAAGGACATATTTGTATTGATAGAGATATACGACTGTATTGATGAAGTAGGTCAATAAATATCATTATTCAAGGTAGTGACAAAGGTACTCATGCAGTGCATCAGACTATGACATGTTGATGGCCAAACAATAGTATCTATAACTAATTACACCTCTGTCGATTTTGTTGATTTTAATAAGAAACAGTTGTATAATTGGAATTTGAATCTTTGTATACAGAATTCTTGCTTGTCTTATTTCTTTTGTTGCATCTTTGCGTATTGATGATACTTGTTAAATATAAACGATTTATTTTTATCGTGAGTTGATCAGATATCGATTTCTTAATATACATAGACAAGACTACGTGTAAATATTAGTTAAATCATAATATACATTACATTTTCAATGTGAGAAATGAAATAGAAGATTAATAGTGTAAAAAAAACCCTCAATTATCGTGTGTTTATAAGGTAAATTATTATGATAAAATTATACTTTTAAAAATGATATTTTCATCTTCTATACAAGATTTTTAAACACAATTATCAAATCATTTAGATGTTTTAAATATGATAAAAGAAACAAAAAAGCTTCTCGCAGGTTATTCAAATCTTTTTTTTTTTCGTTTCTATGCACCATAACATGTTGAAAACATTATTCTTTCTAATTAAAAACAATGAGTGTAACAAATGAAAATTATTTATCTTGAATAGAACTCAAATTAATGTAATTCTAAGCTACAATTATTTTTTCTAATTATTTAGAAATTTGACTTGATCTCTATTTTAATGTTCTATTGAATGATTTATAACTTATTCAGGTTATACAATATGAAAATTTTTCCTATTTTTAAATGAAATATCAACATAGAAAGATACTATAGCAAGAGCTAGAAAATTACCACTACTAGAATAACACTTAGCAGAATAGTTACTCGACAGCTGATAATAAAAAAATTCTTATTTACGCTTAAACAAAAAAAGTCATCACAACTTCTCTCCTCCACAGTAGTAGTCAGATATTGTTATCAACAGCTATCTCCTACCGACTCTGTACCCATTTTATTCGATAATGACAAACGTTTTGTTACTCGTTAGCTGATAGCATAACTGTTTTCGCAATTGTAACTTTTCTCTATGGTTCTGATCAAGGAGTATCTCGTTCATTTTTCTCTACTTTATAAGTGTATATATCGTTGATAAAAACTCTATTCTTGACTAAATTTTTCTTTTTTATTGCGCATATATATATATCTATTCAGCTACATCACAAATATCAACTTGAAGTTTTCAACATTTTCTTTTACAAAGTGAATAATCGAAGAGAAAAAAAAGGCACTCCCTAGAATTTATTCTTCATCTGTCTCAATTGAACCTCTAGAATGTGATAAAGATATTTGTTATATAAATTTTGATTTCACTAAATGAAAAATGAGTAAAATACTTAAGGATATTTTATCTCCAGTCAAAATGACTATTGTATTTGTTTTACGTATATTTTCTTGATGATCATTCACTTGACTGAATACAGAGAAAATATATTTTCTTAAAATTTATTTAAAATTGAAATTATTAAAATATTTCATTGAAATCTTGATGCACAAATTAGTAAATTTTGTATTCATACACTTGTTCCGTACGGATGCGTTGACTTTCGAGATATTCTTTCGCTGAACATCCACCTTCGGAAAATGCGCACAAAGCGAACATTTTTAGTTTTTGATTTTCTACCGTTCACTATTCAATAATTTTAACAACGACAAATTCTTTCCCTCATATCACAGGATATTAAATTTGATGCTCTTCGTCGTAGTATAAAATAAAGTTTTAGGATGTAAGATGACGAAGATATGAGAGTCACAAAGTGCACCTATATAAAGTGAATTTCTCAACAGAGTGACTTTTGAACACGACGTATAGGAGTTGGAAATTGAATGCAGTTTACAGTATGAGAAATAAACCAATTGAAAATATGAAACGAAAAGAAAGAAAAAAATCAGTTTTCATAAAACTCATGTAATGAATTTCTGTTTTCGCATTATTCCATTCGAAACATGGATATGTGCAGTATCTAAATTTAAGTCTTTATGTTTATCATTATTTCGTATTGTCTTGTTTCTAATATTCTCCCAAATTCTTTCTCTGTTATTTGTTGTTTGTCTTTAAAAAAAAGGTCTCTATTCAATTGTATAACCAATTGTAGTGCAATATAACTTTAGATATTTAATTTTATTTGAAACAATAGTTATCAAACTTAGGATTAATTTTAACAGATTTTTCAGTTTAAAAAACAAACTTGTTTTTTTGTGAAGCATGATCTAAATGAAGTACGAAGGTATACAAATAAACATATCGATCTCTTCCTCACAGTCAGTGGCAGACGCTAGTTAGAGATCATAACAGACCATATATCAGTAACGTCTCGTTATTATATATGAACTACATTCTTATTGCATTTCAGGAGGATTCAAGGTGAACAAAACGAAAATATGTTCGGAATGAGCGAATACATTTTCGTTTCATTTGCCTAGATCTCGATAGATTATTCCACAGATGTCAGTAGTTATCAATCATATTCATAGTTCTAAATCAACCAATCCCAATGCAAATCTAAATAGAGGCCCATGAAGTTATTCTTCAATGGTTGAAACAGAAGAAATCTTAGTTATAATTCATTTACTTGTCGGTGTTTTAATTCAATGATTCGATTGTTTTTTCTTCTAGATGACTTCTGCGGTAGATTCTACCGCAATTATTGATGATGAATCAACGTCTAATACTTTAAAACGACGTCGTTCATCAAATATAATTCAAAATGATTCAGACATTGAACAACAAACGCCGTTAAAACGCGTTCGTACTTTATCATCAATGAATAATTCTATATCTGATAATAATAATATTCAATCAATGTTTATTTGTCTTAATGATATTGTTCAATCACATCGTAATCTCGTTCATGAATATGTTAATTTACAAATGTGTGATCGATCAAATTTATCATTAGATGAACAACGTTTTATTCAAGCTGAAGAAGATCTTATTGAAAAAGTTGAAAAAAATTTACATGATATTAATAATACATCATCATCAACACCACCATCATCATCATCATCACGTTGTGGTAAACGTCCACGATATCAATCAATAAATTCTTCAAATCAATCATTTGATCGTATTAAACATGAAGCACATATATTAAAACGTATTGATGAATTAAAATCTGATGGTAAATGGACAAATCAACGTTTAGCTAAATGTATAGAACCTAAAAAACGTAAAACACATTGGGATTATTTATTAGATGAAATGTGTTGGTTAGCTGAAGATTTTCTACTTGAAAAACGTTGGAAACAAGAAATGGCTAAAAAACTTTCTTTAGCTGTTTTAAAATATTTTCGAGATAAAAATTATTTAGAAAATCAAAAACAACATAATGAATATAAACGTCAACGTAAACAAGCACAATTTATATGTAAAGAAGTAATGAATTTTTGGAAAAATATAAATAAATTAGCTGAATATAAACAAACAACACGTATAGAAGAATTACGTAAACATCAATTAGATTTACATTTAAATTTAATTATTAATGAAACAGAAAAATATTCAAATTGGCTTGTTAAATCTTTACAAACAACAAATCAAAATCAAATAAATAATAATATTGATAATGATGAAGAATATCATATTAATGATGATGATGATAATGATGATAATGAAGAAACAATTGAATATGAAGAACAATATGAAAAAGATGAATATGATTTAAATGAACTTAAAGAACTTCAAGCTGATCAAGATGAATCAATTGATATTTTATTAAAACGTCATTATGGTATTGATATATTAAATTCATCAAGTGAAAAAGAAAATAATTTACCACATGAACATGAAGAAAATTTAAGTGATAGTGATACAAATGAAAATTTAGATGAAGAATCAACATTAAATGAATTAAATGAAAATAATTTAATTAATAAAGATTTATTAGATAATAATCAAATAATAACAACTGATAAACAAATGAATGATTTAGCAACAACAGTTCAATTATTTCAACCAACTGGATTTACACTTAATACAACAACAGTTAAAACACCGGTGCCTTTTTTACTTAAACATTCATTACGAGAGTATCAACATGTTGGTCTTGACTGGCTTGTTACATTATATGAAAATAAACTTAATTGTATATTAGCTGATGAAATGGGTTTAGGTAAATTAATTTATATTTATTATAGAAATATTAATCATGTCAAATATCGTGCATTCATAAAATTTTGTTATTCGAAAAGAGTAGAATTGTATCAAAATCACAGAACGATGGAGGTGATTCGTCATAAATATTTGCCAATTCCTCGCTAGTGAAAATTTTTTTTTTCATGTTGAGAGAACGAAGCGATTGAAACGAATCCTGATGAAAATATATGCTCTACACAATGGTGTAGGTGATATGATCCACGAATACAGAACTGGATCAGGTACACGAACTTTTCAGTCAGCCTGATCCAATAAAATCTCTCTATTTTGAACACTAGCGGGACCATTGAAAATGTTCACTTGAGAGAGTTGAAACATAATTTGCTTTGAAATGAAGAAAATCCACTTCTATATGAGTCATTGATAAAGATTTGACTACTATCTATTCTCTTGTTCATCTGAATGATTTGAATGGAAAGATTTTTCAAGTACAACACAAAATTTTATTGTTTCTAAAACGAATTCTTTGATGGTGCTTATCTTTTTGTTTTTGTACATTGACATCTTTCTATTTTCGTCTAAAACTTTGAGTCTGATTTGTTTCATAATCATTTAAATATTCTTTTTTATATTTTAAAATATTTATAATGAATTAATGGTATTTTTTTTTTCTTGTAAAATAAGCTCATGTCGTAATATCTTTCTTTACTTTACAGATACAACAGTCCAATCGTACGCAAAATGTACCTACACATAGCGTATACGAACCCAAATGATAGAAAAGAGAAAGAGGTCAAAAGAGTATATACACATTAGAGAGGTTATAATAGTAAAAGGGACCGCAAAAAAGTGTTCATTGTTCAGAGTAAGGAGGCATTCACATTAGGAAGAGAGGGATATCTACAGCAAAACCGCTTTGTTGGATCCGGGATTGTTTGTAATTAGGAGATGTTTACTAGTAGAAATTTTACTCAAATAAAAATAAGCAGACAAATGTTGTTGGGATTGAGGAAGGACGAGTAGATCGTCTGTTGTGAGAGGAATTGAATTGCTATGCTTAATATCAATAAATTTGATTGAGAATAACCTTTATATAAATGTATATATTACTTTCTAGGTAAAACTATCCAAACAATTGCTTTACTTGCACATTTAGCTTGTGAAAAAGGTAATATAATAATTAAATATTATTCAATTTTAAATCAAAATATTTTATATAGGTGTTTGGGGTCCACATTTAATTGTTGTTCCAACAAGTGTTATGCTTAATTGGGAATTAGAATTTAAAAAATGGTGTCCAGCATTTAAAATTTTAACATATTATGGTACAATAAAAGAACGTCAATTAAAACGTCAAGGTTGGACAAAAATGAATGCATTTCATATATGTATAACATCATATAATCTTATATTACAAGATGTTAAATTATTTCGTCGTAAAAAATGGAAATATTTAATATTAGATGAAGCACATCATATAAAAAATTTTAAATCACAACGTTGGCAAAAATTATTAAATTTTCATTCTCAACATCGTTTATTATTAACAGGTACACCATTACAAAATTCATTAATGGAATTATGGTCATTAATGCATTTTTTAATGCCAAATATATTTTCATCACATGAAAATTTTCGTCAATGGTTTTCAAATCCATTAAACGAAATGATTGAACAAGAACAAATACAAACAAATGATTTATTAATAAAACGTTTACATAAAATTTTACGTCCATTTATATTACGTCGTTTAAAAATTGATGTTGAAAAACAAATACCAAAAAAATTTGAACACATTATTATGTGTAATTTATCTAAACGACAACGACAATTATATGATGATTTTATTCAATGTAAAACAACACGTGATATTATACAACAAGGAAATTATATGTCTGTTATTAATATACTTATGCAATTAAGAAAAGTTTGTAATCATCCAGATTTATTTGAAACTCGATCAATTATTTCACCATTTATTTTTCAAAATAATTTAATTGAATATCAAATACCTAAATTAATTTTTGATATTAATTTAAAAAATCCATATGTATTATATAATACACAACCAAATGATACATTTTTTTCTTATCGAATTAAATTAACTTTACAAGCAACAAAATCTATGATTATGAATATAATTAATTGTAATAATAATAATAATAATAATGATGATGATGATGATAAACGACAACGAATTCCATTAACAACAAGTATTATTGAACGATATAGAAATACTTCTATATGGTATCAATCCAATGAAACAACAACAAAAAGTATGATTAATAGATAAATTTTTTTCTTCTGGATTTAATATTTAAAAAATAAATGATTATTTTTTTTGTTTCTTTTAGATCTTCGAAATCATTCCGAAATCAATCAAAATCTATTAACAGATTTCAATGATCATAAATTTCAATCAGAAAATATTTATGTAAGTTCAAAATTTATTTTTAAATAAGATCGTCTCTCTATTGGAACAGTAGCAGTGCGAGGATGATGGGTATACACGTGTAAGTGAAGGTGTGTAAGTAAAGAAAAGATCTATATCCACACCTAGAGCCCATCGAATCAGTTCGGATTCGAAAACTTGGAATCAGATGGACTCTACCCACACCATCGAGGTCTTCAATTTTTTAATGTTTTCTTTCTATATCTTCCACCAAACCCGAGCAGGAGGAGAGATCCAATGCAATAGTGTTTCAAGTCAGTCGTAACGGAATAGACGTAATGTAAACATTTTCTTATAGTTAAAAATGCGGTCGTTTTCGACTGATTTTTACATAAAAACCATTTACAACATAGTAAATATTAGTGAAGATTACTAAAGTATTCTATCTTACTTTGAAGTGAAAATAGTATCGCACAGAAATTTTAGTTACGTTTGAAAGTTCTAGCCATCGTATAAGTCGTAAGGTCATTGGTGTCTTTGTCACAGTATTTTCAAAGTCTTTTCAAGAGAAAAAAATTCAGATATTTAAAAACATCTCTACTTGTCGCAAAAATTAAGTTAAGATTTTTAGTAATCTGAATCATTATTTCATTGATGAAATAATTCAATTATATAAAATTTTCACAAAATTGAAGAACGATGTAACGCAAATTGTCCGTAATTAAAAAAAGGAATATTCTATCTAGAAATGAGTTAATGGTTTAACCTAAATCTCTATAAATCGATACAAGATATATACAAAATAAAGATATTTACTAAGAAAATTGTTTTTTTTCTTTAGCATGAAATTTGTAAACAACGTCAACAAGAACGTTTATCTCGTTATGAATTACTATGTCAAATCAATGCAGATCGTTGTCAATCTCTTCCGTTATATGGTCATGACTTTCTTTCACAAATTGAATTAATTATGCGTCCATGTCATCGCTTAAATCGAACAACATTTAGTGGATATGCATTATGTCAATATGTACATGAATCATTAACTACAACTCAAGATTATATGTCAACAACAGATACTCTACGAAAGTTAATTAAAACAAATCGAGAAATATTAGACGAATATCGAGACATACTCAATCGGTAAATAAAAAAAATAACTAATGATACTTTCTACGTTCAAAAATTAATATTGAGTCAGATGATATGAAATTTTCAGGATATATTCAGACTGTAGTGAAGAGGCTATAATAAAATTGTCAGTTCTATACTATAATATTTTCGGGAGATAAAAAAAAGCGTTAAAGTATAAAGGTAGAAAGTTTGATCTACAGACCATAGATCATTAACGTCTCGTTATAATATATGAATTATTTCCTTATCACATTTCTGAAAAAGAATAAAAAGATGAGAAGTTCAATATCTCAAAAAAAAACCGAGTCCCATCTCAAACTATTTTCCTATACATTTATCCTAATGTGAATAAATCTGACCGAAATCAACTTTAGATTTATAATATGTACGAAACGTGTATTAGCATCACCTATTGAATTATTTCAAACAAATGGAATTCGTTTAACAAATAAAATAAATCAACAAAAACCATTAATTGAAGTTTTATCATCAATTGATTTTGATATATTTTCACCAATAAGACAAAATATGTTTTTACAATTTCCTGAACGAAGACTTATACAATATGATTGTGGTAAATTACAAACACTTGATTTACTTTTATCAGATTTAAAACATAATAAACATCGTTGTTTAATATTTACACAAATGACTAAAATGCTTGATATACTTGAATTATTTTTAAATTATCATAATTATACATATGTACGATTAGATGGTACAACAGATGTTCTTCAACGACATATATTAATGGAACGTTTTAATAGTGATGAAAAAATTTTTGTTTTTCTTTTATCAACACGTGCTGGAGGAATTGGTATTAATTTAACCGGTGCTGATACTGTGATTTTTTATGATTCAGATTGGAATCCTACAATGGATGCTCAAGCACAAGATCGATGTCATCGAATTGGACAAACAAAAGATGTACACATTTATAGGTAATAATTCAAATTGAAATAAAAACAAAAAATTTTTATTTTTATTTTTTTAAGGCTTATTTGTAAGAGTACAATTGAAGAAAATATTTTGAAAAAAGCAAATCAAAAACGTTTACTTGGTGATTTAACAATTGATGGTGGTAGTTTTGATGTAAATTATTTCAAAAAGGTATTATTTTCTTTTTGTCAAGTACTTGAAATTCGAAATTTGAGCAAAAGATTTTTTGATTATGGTTGTGTAGAACCCGTCGAGTTGCTTAAAGAAATGTTGTTTTCGATTTTAATCGTCATATAATTATGTAAAAAAGATGGTGACTACCGATCATAGGTAGAACATTGCACTGATCTAGACATGGGCGAGCGTATAGAATAATGATGAAACTACAGTGAACTTAAATCGAAGGAGAAAAAGCAAGACTTCAGTACGATGAAATACTGTACTTCGGAGTACTGGAGTCTCGCTTTTTCCTCTTGTCTTCGATTCATTTCGGCTCTACTAGTTGGTGAAGATCTATTTCAAGAAAATAGCTAAATTTTATAAAATATGACTAAACCGTGAGAACTAAGCCTTTATCAAACGAGAATTTTGACAAATCTCACTTAGATTTGAATTTCTGCACTCTGAAAACTTTTAGTCTATTTTTATAAAACTCACCTATACTCGTGAAATAGCTTTCTCGATTGAAATCAATCCAGGATTGTCATAGTTTTACTATGCGTACATGTTTAGATCGGTGCACTATTGTTACCGGAAAACGATGGACGAAGCAGCGTAGTCAGATAAATATTGAGGCTAACGACACATGATGATTTTGGCGTAGTTCAATTTTTTTTTAAAAGTTTTTCTGATTCTTTTAACCTAATCTTTCAAAGTTTTTATTACAAAAACAAAATTTCTGTAGGTAACTTGACGAGTCCTATTTAACCATGAGAAACTCTAAGAAAAAATTTGCTCAAATTTCGTATTGTCAGTACCTTATCTTTTTCGAAACGTAAATCATTTAAACTTGTTTATTTGTTTTAATTAAAATTATAAAAAAAATAGAATAATATTCGTGAATTATTTGATCCATCAACAACAGTAGAAGATATTGTACGTGAACGAAATGGATATCAAGAACGATTAGATTCAAATCGTACAACAACAACAACAACTATGATAGATAATAATTTAACAACAACAGAATTTGAAGAAGCTCTTGCTTCAGTTGAAGATGAAATAGATCGTCAAGCTGCAAATGAATTAAATAAAGAAGTTCAAGCTGAATTAACTGAATTTAATGAAGATGAAATAAATCATCTACATGAAGATCAATTAATTGAAAAACAAAAACAAAAAATGAAGACAATTGAAGAAAATTTAAAAACATTTGATGAACAAGTATTCTCTTTTTATTATTATATTCAAACAAAGAAATAAAATGGAAATATTTTCTTATTTTTAGCTTCGACCAATCGAACGATATGCTTTACGTTATATTGAAGCCAATCGTGATGATCATCAAACTTCTCAATCTAATTTAAATATATATGTAAGATTTCTTTTTTTTTCTTTCTAAAATCAAATGAAATTTCATTTGTTTTTTTTTCTTCTATAATATTTAGCTTGACACAGAACAAATTCGAAAAGATTGGCAATTATCACGTTTAAAAGCTTTGAAAGAACAAGAAGAAAAACAATTTGAACAAGAAGATGATGAAATGATGTATACATATATACGAGACAATGAACAAAAGGTCAAATATAACTATACATATTCATGTGCACGATATAGTTTGGTAGCGAATGAATTAGCACGTTATGAGAAATATTCTACAGTTCATGATGTTAATCATACATCTTTTTCTTCTCCTATACCATTATTATCAGTTCCTCTTTCTATATCTCCATCCTCTCGTTTATCTCCGCCTCCTCTATCTCCTGGAATTATCAAACGTTCATTCAAATCTATTAATACTTTTCCCAAAACATCTAATGACAATATCCAACGACGTCGCCATTTACAAATTATTCCATCTCCACCTCCATCACCTTTACCATTCACTAATAAACCAATACAATCTCGTATAAAAGAAACTCAACATAATAGTAAAAATGCTGATTGTATTAATTTCATAGCTTTTCTTAATAGTGATGATGATGATGATGATGATGATGGTGATGATGATTTACATAATAATTCTAATAATAGTACTTCGAATCATTCAAAAAGAATCTATTTATCAAAACCTAAAGCAACAATATCAACATTAACACATTTATCACCAATTCTATCTCGTAAAAAATCACCATTAATTACGAATACAAAATCTGGTGTTGAACGAAAAGTTCATTTTAGTAATTCATTACCACATTAAATTCCTTAAAGAAACAATCAGTTACATCTACAATGAATTTTGGTAATCGAAATTCTCGATCCTCAGAATCAATACTTATGATTAAGAAATGAACAAGAAATTCATTATCTGGAACAAATTTTGCTGATCAATCATCTATTTATAAATCTTCGTCAAATTCTCGTTTATCATTAACAATAGGAACTAGTTCTCGAATTCGATCACAACAACAGTTACAATCACGAACAATTCAACAAAAGATACGAAATAATAAAAATTCGACAAAAACATGAGGAGGCGGAGGAAACAAAAAATTCACATTTTTCTTCTATTATTATAGGTGATATTAAGAACAGTGCTTGCGCGTTTGTTTTCTCCTTTCATTTTTTCAGTATTGTTCTATGCCTACATACAGTTATATGAACATAGTACTATTCATTTTTTTTCCAGTCTGTATTCATGTACTTGTTTCATGGATTTTTTTTCCGAATATAAAAAGAATAAACCGATAAATTGAACAATACACACACACATATATATATATATGTATCAAGGCATAAAGAGATAAAACATGATTCAAGATTTGTGATCGCGTACTTTTTTGTCATACAATGATTTTTCATTATCCGTCAATCTGTCTGTTAATGAGTACAGGAAAGTTTGAGCAATTTAATTAGAATCATGTTCTTTTTCTGATCTTGATCAATCTTGAATCATAATTTTTCTTGCCTTGAAAAATAAATAGTTTTTATGATTTATTTTTCTGTGTGTTTTGTTCAATTTATATGAGTCATTTCAAGGAAAAACGATAAGTATTTAAATTTCCATTCGAAAATTGATACTAAACCTAAACAGACAGACAGATGACGGAACAATAGAAAAAAACAAAAAGAAAATGATTAATATACTTTAATTCTTGTTTAGATGTGGATCACAGAAGATGGTCAAGCATTTGAGGTTTGTTGTCTTTTTTGTTTTTTCGCTTTTATATTGATTTTATTAATTGAAATTATATTAGATATGGTCTGGTATTTTAATGAAACATACAAAAGAAGAAGATGAAGAAATATACAATGATGATGAACTTGATTATGGTTATGAATCAGAAGCAATGATTATTGAACCAGAAGAATATATTCGATTTCCTCTACCAAAAGGTACAAAATTAATGACGATAATCTAAAATTTAAGGAAAGATCTTTTCGAATTAAATGATTTGAAATAATCTCGTATAGTGACATTGGATATGCGTATTTTAATGTTTTATAATAATCTTGTCGTTTTTTTTAAAACGATATAAAAGTTCAAATAAGCTGAAGTATTGATATCATTTTTGATAAATCCAATCAAATGATTTCATATTAATGCATAAGCTCTGCACACACTTACAAGGAAATATATTCAACTATCGGGCACCATTCAACATCATATTTTGTCTATGAGTAGAGCTTCATGAAACTAAAGATGATATCCCTAAAGAGTTTGAATCCATACATTATCCAGTCAGATTTATGACTGTTCTGCCGCTACGCTAACTATTTACGGAAAACTCTATTAAGAGATGTTCATCTGAAATTTCGCCTAGATGGAAGTCTCATCGCTACTAGAATAACCTAAAAATTTCATCTCAATGGAGTATTAAAACTATATACATCATGTAGATCCAAATAAGTTTTGAATATTCTGAGAAGAATTCGTACCATTAGCTTATTGCTACGGAGATACTGCACTTCTACGGTATGTTTTAAATGAATGCCGTAGTTTTTCAGGAAAATTAATTTTCGGGTTTTAACTTAAAGGTATACCTTAGTAAGAGTAGTTTATTGTAAAAGTTTCAAATCTTTTGATTTGTTTCTATCCTAAAATAAGAGCATAAAATCTACCGTCAATATATGAGCGATGTAAAAGACATACTTTTATGATAGTTATATCTTAAGATAGGAACAACGACAAGATCTGAAACTTTCATAATAAATTATTCTCGTTGAGGATGGTTTCTATGGAAAGTTTCAAATTAAAATTCGAAAATCAGTTTTTCTGATATTTCTGAGAGGAACCACAGAATTCATATAAAAAAATACCGTAAATTTGCAGTATCTTATCAGCAATAAGATAAGAACCTAAACAGTTTTTAGCTCTAATTGGGTAACGTATAGATCCAAACCCTTAAATGAATTTCTTAATTTCGCTGAGTCCTATTCATAACCCAAATATGAAGTCGAACCATATCCAATAGTTGGATATGTTCTCTCATAAGTCATATGCGTTTAAAAACCATGTTCAATATTTTAAAAAAGATTAAGATTTTAGTAAGGAAACTTAGATTATAAGATGTAAGAACCAACAGTTATTTAAAGATATTTTGTATTTTTTTTTTATAAAGTCATAAGTTTCTTTTTTTTTTGCTTTAGCACTTGTTGATACCACAAATATGTCAAAATCCGATACAAGTATTCTTGTACCACGTTCATTATTCGACCGATCAAATTTATTACTTAACACTCAATCATCATCATTATCAACAAATACATTCAATAAATCAAAACAAACACCAAATAATAATAATAATAATAATAATAAAATGTTTTCATCAAACATTCCAACACCCATAACACCACAAGCAAATATTAAAGCACGTCAATTATATGTTAATAATGGTACAACAACTACTCCACTTCCAAATTCCTCAAATACAAATGTTATTGTTTCAGCATCAACATCATCACGTCCAATTAAACTTGAAGAAATGCTTTCAAAAGATAATTTTCAAGGTTTACTTGAAATTGATAATAGTGATTGGCTTATATCCGAAGATTATAAAGTCTTAGATACAATACAAAATATACAACAATTACCATTAACATCAATGTCATTTTCAAGTACATCAAATGCAAATAAACCTCAAACAATTTTATCAAATTCATCATTATCATCATCACCATTATTACCATCATCAACAACAATAACAACACCATCATCATCATCCTCATCATCATCGATTGTTAATAATACAACAAATGCATTAACACAAAATTGGGATTTTATATCGGATGTTGTTAATCGTTATTCACGTGTATTACGTACACCAAAACAATGTAAACATCGTTTTGAACAAGTTATTGGACCACGTGAAGAAGGTCGTGTTGTTTATGATTTAATTAAAAAAAAGAAACATGTTATTAAAGGAACTGTAAAAGTAAGACAATTAAATAAAACAAAATGATCTTAGAAACTTCTTTTTTTTTTTTTTTTTTTTTTTTTTTTAATAATTTTAAGATGTCAGATGATAATTGGCAAATGTTACGTACAAATCAATTATTTGTTCATGATAATTGTCAAAAATTATTACAAATGTATCATCAAAAATTTGATACAATTTTACAATTTGAACAACAATTATCATCATTGATTTATTTAAATAAATTTAAACAAATACAAATAGCTCAAGCTGCACATCATCAAACAAGAGGTTTAAAACAAGGTGCACTTTTACAAGAAAATAGTATGTTAACATAAAAAGAAAAAACAAAACAAAACATTAGAATCTTTATTTATTCGACTTTTCTTTTTTTGTTTTTTTGCTTTTCTAAAAGATATTAATTTTGATGTACCATTAACGCCAAGTGATGTATCATATCAACGATCAGAACGAGAAAAAGAATTGAAACAACAACAACAACAACAACAACAGCAACAGCAACAACCATTAACACAAACTATTACTGGAAATGTTCATCAACAACAACAACAAATTCCAATAACACAAAATAATATTGATACTATCAAACAACAAACACCTCCTCCTAATGCAACATTAACATCAACAATTAATACTCGAGTAAGTCTTGTTTGCTGCTTTTTTTTTTATTGTTTTATTTATTACTTTTATTTAGGTTCGACCGTCAACATTAAATACTACACCAACACCAATTAATTCATCACCTTCACCATCTCTATCACTTATTCAATCACCTTCACCATCAAATTCTCCTACAATTCAACGATCTATTTCGAATAATATTATTGTTGCAAGTAATAATCATTCAAATATGAATACAACTCGTTCTCAAAGTAATATTTTACCATCTCGAACTAATGTAAGTAATTAACAAAGGAAAAAAAACAAGAAAAATATTTATCGTTTATTTTTATTATTCAATTCTATAGTTTTCATCTTCAACAACAACAACATCAGTTAATTCAATTCCTTCATCAAATCAACCATCTATTCCAACAGCTACTATCTTACCTGGACAAAGACAAGTACAAGTTTTACCAACGAATAATAATTTAATAAATGAAACAAATTCTGTACAACAAAAACAAGTTGGAACAGGTTAAATAATATTTTCTAGTTTTTTTCTTTTTTATGAAGCACGCTCTACAAGGAATGTTGATTGAATAGGGGTTAGCTAGAAATATCTGAAACTTTGTCGTCAGCATGGCTGAATTTTTTCGATGAATTTTTAAAAAAATTTGACATGAAAATGAGTAGTAGGGAACTGATTAATAGAAAATCAAATGGTAATATCTTCAAAAAATTAATTTAGAACGTCTGAAATTTTTAAAATTCAACTATCTTTGGTGTCGTGACGGCGGCAGCTTAGTTGATCGGCTTACACTTCTAACCGTATATCAATAACGTCTCGTTCTAATACATAAACTACATACGTCTTTATTGCATTTCTGAATGATTAAGTAAAAGGATGGTGAAGAAATATGTTCCGAAATAGATAGAATAAAACGATCTCCTTGTGATTAACAATAGCAACTACATCGGGTTTTACATTTTAATCTCATAGGGACTGCGCTAACAGCTTTTCTTTTCTAATTGTAATTTTTATTTTTTATTTTTTTATAGTTCAAATTTCGTCTAATGAATATCGTCACGTACGAGCTCTTCCTCATCAACATCAAACAACAGCAACATCGACAACAAATCCATCATCAACATCAGCTAATATTCAAGTTCGAGCACAAAATTATCAACGAAGTCAAAGTCAAGTATGTATATCTTTATT